CTTGAGCTTCATTATCAATCCTTCCAATGAGCAGTCAGGGTTGATTTCCTTTAAGACTGACACCTTATCTATTACTAATATCTATAAACCTCCTAAAGCTTATTAGGATTGAGGGAGTGGATAAGGGAGTGTATAAATTGTACAAAAAAACTCACTTTTGACAAACTTAGAAGTTGCCTCCCTGAACATCAGGTCTTCTTCAAAGCAAAAAAGGAACAGAAAAGAAAACCAGAGCTGGCGTGACAGATAAGAAGCAGAGGAGGCTTGGCAAAAGTATACCCAACATGATCTATTTGTTAAACTACTAGCTACCTTTTGATTTTTTAAAAATAGGATCCATAAAACAAGGTTGCCATTATTTCTCTTCCAAAGATTGCAACCAAAGGAAAATCAGGCCCAGGCTATAAGGCTGTGCAGAGATGGGATATGAAGACAGTTTCATCAAATTGCCTGAATGAATTGCCCAATCAATGCACAGAATGTGTTGAATGTCATTACGTGTCTTCTAATCAATTTGAAGATTTGATGCACTTCTGTGCATCGTTCCCACACTCTCTCTCATGCACACTGTAACTGAATCATATTTTCAAAGCAAATAGATCTGACTAAACATTCTGAATCACAAATTCAAATCCAACACAAATTGAACAAATCATTCTTGGAACCAAGTTGCAAATTGGAGCGTTGGCTGGTTTTCACCCTCCAAAGAATCACAATGGACATTACATCATTGAAGGTGGCAGATGACTGGAATGAGGTTCCCCCTGAGATTCAAACTGACCCCACCCTACTGGTGTTTCAAAGGGCCCTGAAGACCTGGTTTTTCACCCAGGCCTTTGGTGAGCATGATTGAAGCCCCCTTTTCCTCTTTTTCCTGGTTCCCATCTGGGTTTGCTATCTCTGCCATCTTTGTTCTTTTTTGTTTTGGGTTGTTTTCTTGTTTTAATGTTTTTAGCAATTTGTAAACCGCTCAGAGTTGCTGGGAGTTGGGAGGCATATAAATTTAATAAATAAATAAATACATATATATGTATATCAAATTTGTCACCACCCATCTCATTAAAAAGCAACTCTGGGCAGTTTACAGAGAAGATAAAATTAATTAAAAATACAATATAAAAGTAGTCCTGAATAAATAAAAATATAATCCAAGAGTTAATTGGTGGGTAACTTGGGAAGTGTCATCAGTGCACCAGCCACGCCCAGGTTTGATTAAAATTCTTATTGCCCCACACAAGCTGGCAGAGCCAGGGCTTTAGCCCTTTCTAGAAAGCCGGGAGAGTAGGGGCCCACTGCACCGCTGGGGGGAGAATATTCCAGAGGGCAGGGGCAACAGCAGAGAAGGCTCTCCTCCTGGGCTCTGCCAGCTGACATTCTCTCGCTGACGGGGTCTGCAACATGCTCTCTCTGCCTGACCACATGGGATGGGTTGATGTGATGGGGGTGAGACAGTCCCTCAGGTAGCCTGGACCCATGCCATGTAGGGCTTTAAAGGTAATAACCAACACCTTGAATTGGACCCGGAAGCGAACTGGGACCCAATGCAGCTCCCGCAGTAAAGATGTTATATGTACTATGCTTGGGGCACCCAAGATTGTCTGTGCGGCCACATTTTGAACCAGCTGTACAGTAGCTTCCAGATACTCTTCAAGGGTAGCCCCATGTAGAGCGCATTGGAAGTCTAAAATAAATCATTGCAATAGTCTAAAATGTCCACTTTGTTGACTAGCTAGAGCAAATTTTACTGATTGGCTAGTGGCCTTCTGAGTTCACCTTGAGACACATTCATGGATGCATCTCCTTTTGTTGAAGTTCTACTTGCACGGAGTGGAAGCTTGCCCAGTCTGCTCACCTGAACACTGGGAATCTGTCAAAGGGCCATCTGCTTCTGTCCAGTCCAATCTCTTTCCTTTGATGTCAGCACAAAATGACTTTTGGGTGGAAGAATCTTTGTAAGAAGGTCTATACTGGCCATTTTCATCACACCGTTCAATTTGCTCATTCCTCTGGCAATCAGTAATACCTATTGGAGGAGCACAGGGGAAAAAAAAAACCCACTTGTTGGGACAGAATTCCATTTGTTTGTGATTCTCTAGCCAAAGACATTTCTGAATGAATCACACCTCAAGTTGGAGTTTCTGTCATCTAATTTTCATTAGATGTGTAATGGGTGTGAATTCTATACTAAAGTATAAGGTGGATTTTTAGTTTTGGCTTAGCATAATGTGCAAATCCTACTATTGTATCTTATTCAACAAGCCATGGTTAAAGCAAACTATACAAGTGCAATATACAAACCCAGATACAATCCAGAATTCTAGTATCTTATTCTCCCATTATTTGTTGAACCAGCCATATCCAAATTGGATGCTATGAACAGTGTCTAGAATGTCATATTCTAACCTATAATGTTGCTTGTTTATCTTTGTTTCAGCATGTTGTCTAAGCCCACCCATTCTGCTTTTTAAACCATGGTTTATGATTTAGTGTTATGTGAGAACTCAGATAACTATAGCTTATTTAACCAACCCAGACAATTGTGGATTATTCAATGACCAGCCCATGGTTTAGGTAATTGTATGAATCTACTGGAAACCAGTCTTTCTCCAACATCAAATGGAAAATACATAATGTATTTTTCCAAGACTCTTACAGTGATCTGCTCTGAAAGCTCCAGCGGAGACAGTAAATTTCCCAAGAGGACATTTCACACAGAAGTTACTTCCTGCTCGGTCTTGATAGAATCCAGAAGGACATGGAATGCAGCTCTCATTCTGGAAGGAGGAACCTGGAGGACAAACCGCTGCAAATGGGGACAGGGGTTATTATTCTGTGGAATTCAAATTCATTTTGGATTCTTCCAGAAGAGAGAGAGAGACATGTGCACATATATTTGTCCAAACTGTGGAACTACGTTGTCATTTCAAGTTACCTCTAGGTCAAAATACTGACAAGCAAGTTTTCCATTTCAGCCAATTAACAGATTTAACCAGAATTTTTCCATTTCAAAGATTAACTAAATTTGTTATTAATAATGATGTAGGTATACAGCGGGAGTAGTCATGAGTTTTATTT